AAGTTCCGTTGCCAGTAGAATAGTTGTAAAAGTTGACTGAAATGTTATAAATTGAGCATTGCAACGCTCCGTTTTAAAAGCTAATAATGCATTTTAGATGGTATTGTGCAAATTAGATTTTTTTACAGCAAGCGGTTTGCTTTTTTTAATACTTTTTTAATTTTACGCTAAAATTTGAAAATGGATGCAAAATTGTATGTATAATTTATCTCATATATTAATTGATACTATATCATTTAGAATATATTAATTGATATTTATAAATTTTAGAATATATTAATTGATATTATTATAATTTTAGAACAGGGGCGTCGTTAGCCATTACAGTCTCAGGGGGCTCAACTAGAAAAATTTCATGAGAACAAAGCCCCTCATACCCCCTAATTTGCAGGCCTTCGGCCGAGTTTTATATTAATATATTATATTTTAAAATTTGCTAACTCTGAACAATTATTCTAAATTTCATATTTTGTCCTTTCTTATATTATGCAGAAAATAAACGAGCATATAAATAATTAAAACAATACAAGACATTTCTAAAAATAATATTTTTAATACAAAATCTATTTATTACATTATAAAATATTTTCGCTTGATGGATTAAAAAAATTTACACCTAAAGAATTACAAGTTATAAAAAAGGTTATTAATTCAAACATATGCCACAATTGATAATGGTTTTAAAAAATCACATAATATAATATAATTCTTAGCAACTTACATTGACAAAAGTTGAAGAAACTAATATAACTCTCTGTTACATTTTAGATGTTGAATATGTTGATCGATGTTATTTTATTATTTATTTTGGCATTTGATTTATTTTTTTATATATCAAATTGTATTTAAATTTAATCGGTGAAAATTTGATATTATGATTTTTTTATATACATCAATTTGTATTAGTTATTTTTTTTATTATTGTTTAAAAAAAGATATATAAAGGGATAAAAAAAATGTAATTGAGGTTAAAAAATAAAAATGAAATTTATCATGTAATAAAATTTCAATTATGATTAAAAATAAAATGTATTGTAATTATCTATCAAATAATAAATGTGGATTTTAAAACAATTCCAACATGGAGGCCAATCTACGTCCGAACTTTGCGTAAGTACTATCTCATAATTTGATCTTGATTTGGCAATGTACATTTATTCTATTTCGCGCCTTTATCGATTATAATTCTCTTACGATGGATGCTTTGAATATATGACTGAATTTGTCAAGCTGGATTTTAATAGCGATGACAGCGCCTACATAGGAAAATTGCAGAATTTCTTCAACACCAGCAAGATCTCCAATGGATAAAAGGCCGCTTTATTTCTCCGAAGTCTTCCTGATGACGAATTCAATAATATTGGGGCAATTTGCACTGAGGAAGACTTCCAGAACCCAATCACCCTGCTTGGCAAATTCAAGTTACAACATCCAACGAAGACCGAGAACGCTAAACTATCATTATTTTATGCTGCAACTCAAGGCAAGGATGAGACATTCTCGGCTTGGGTCACGCGCGTAGCACGACTCAATAAAGAATGTAAATTTAATGTCATTCAGAGAATTATTGAGAAAGTGAGTGTATCTTCGTATTCCAAAGATATCAGGAAAGCGGTCAAGAGCTCTATGACCGTAGAAGACATTTACAATCTAGGTCTAGAGGAAGACACCGCGGACCCAAATGTCATCAAGGGTGAGATGAAATTGTAACATTTGAATGTATCACCTAGTGTACAAGAGGTTAATCACATGGGCAGAGTCAAAAATAGTTACGTAACAACAAAACCCATTCGGGACTCTCACGCACATGGTAATTCTCTTATCAAGCAACCCCAGTTCATCAATGACAATCGCCCCGCACAACATTTCGATGAACGTTACGATTTACGCTGCGACTATTGCCGTGACAAACGATTTGATGAACGCTACGATATATGCTAAGAAAACAACCGCGACAAACGATTCAACGGACGGCATAGCAACTTCCACGACAATCTTTTTCATCAAAGCTACGATAATTGTCACTATAGCCGCAACCGTTTCGATAATCGCAACGATAACTACTACGACGATCGATACAATAATAGCGGGTACAACGTCCATGGCAATCGTCACGACTCTGACCATCATCAAAACCCTGATCGACGGGATGACTGCTATAGAGGTGACAACCGAACCAACTATCCCCGGCGTGGTCAGCACAGACACAACCCTCAAAATATTAATGGTTTTTCGAAATATTCGTTGAGGCCCAACCAATAAAAAAATGACAATAATACTTACAATAGATCTTCTGATTACAAAGATCGTGATTGTCAATTGAATATGAACCATGCTATGAACATCGAAGTAATAGATGATGACGATGACGATGACTCAAACACACTTAAAGAATATAATCTGCAGAATTTGGAAGTGTACAATATGGGGGTCAAGGATACCACATATGAGCCAGGGTTGCCATGTCTCCCCCCATCAGCGGGAGACTCCCGCAATTATTTAGTTTACACGCAGACATCTCTCTCCCGCAAAACTACCGCAATTAGAAATCTCCCGCAAAAATCTACCGCATTTTTTTAATTTCTCCCAAAAAATATTTTTTTAGTATTTTAACGTTTTTAATATATAAATAATAATTTTGAGAGACATTAATTGATTATTTTTATATTTTTAAAATAAATTTTAAATATTTATAAACATGTCTAGTTTGTAAATTTCTTTCTATCCTGTTTTATTTTTATCCAATAATAAATCTTTCATTCATATAAGTCAGTACAGGGGAGTATATCTACATCAATTGCAATACAAAAATATTCTCAAAAATAATAAATAATACAGATGCAACTACATTTGCGGAAATCGTATACATCTATCATGTAGTTTAACATTCACGGAGCTATATCATCACAATGTGGGTCGAATCTTTTTCTCATGATATTTAACGACTCCAATATAAGTGTAAACCTTACTTGTGGCAGAACAGAAATGAGCAAGGCTATCACAAGTGTTTTAGTACCTGAATCCTAGAGGTCAATTCTAAACGATTTGAAAGATGGGCATCCATATGCAATTCTAACAGATGCATTTAATAAGGGAAATATTAAAACATTTCCCTCGATCCTTCGCTATTTCAACAAGAATAAGAACATTTCAATAAAACTGTTAAAATTATTTCCTCTGATATTAAAAAATCCAACAATGTAGCTAGCCACATAATGGTAAATATAGCTGATTCGGGGTTACCAGTGATTTGCATGTCAGCTTTCTGCGCTGATAATGCCTCTGTAAATTTTGACAAAAACCAAAGTTACAGAATTGAGGCAGTACAATAATGAATTAATACCAATTGGCTCTATATGCCATATACTACATAATTCTTGCAAGAAGGCAATGAATATACTATCTGAGGATGTCGAAATAATAGTGAAGAAATGTTTTAACGAATTTAATTTATCAACTAAAAGAGTTATTGAATTAAAAGAATTGATGAAGTGGTCTGACTTGGAATGGTGTGAGTTGTTGCGATATATATATATCAGGTGGTTGTCATTAATACCTGCCATCGATAGAATTTTAAAATTTTACAAACCTTAAAAATAATACTTCTTAAATAGAGATTTTAAAAGCTGTCAAAATTTTTCGAGTATGAAATGGCAGAAGCATATTTAGGATTCGTTTCACGTGTAGGAAATCTACTTCATGCAATTAATATTCCCTTGCAATCAGAATATTCTTTATTAAAAAAGATTCACAAAATCATGCTACAGCTCTGTTCATCTCTACAGCTAAAAATTGATAATAAATTTTATGGCTTGCTAAAAATATTATATTAAAATGTTCAAATAATACTCTAATTAATACATTTTTAAATGAAGCAGTTATTATTATTAAGACAATTTTAGAATATTTACACTCAAAATTTGATTTTAATAACTCTAATTACAAATGTATTATTATGACCTTGGAACAGAAACCATCAATTGATGGTTTTTATAATTTAATAAATATATAAAAAATACCGAAAGACATTGATATCATGTTTGAGGAGATTGTAATTCTCTCTCTTTTTTATGATTCGCCAAAATATTTAAAGTTAGATGATCTAAAAGCAGAGGAGAAATGGGTAGAATTTTTTCGTAATAACGATAAATCCCCAGGCTTGGAAAAAAATATGCAAGTATGTCTTCTCCTTACCTCATTCTAATGCCTCACCCGAGCTCATTTTTAGCCTGATGAACTGCCTGGGAAAAGGAGAGAAATGATTGCTTTAACAACATTAGAGACCGAGCTAATGGTTAACAAATATATAATATGTCTAAATATCTCAATAACGACGGTAAACATTTAGTTCTATTATTTAAATATAAAATATAATTAAGTTTTAGCAATGGTGCTATAAAATTTACTGTCAATTATTAAATGTAAAGATGAACACATCTTCAGCATAATTTTGTGAATCTTTATTAAGATTCTTCTGATAGCAACTACACATTAACAGCATGTAGTAGATTTCCTACATGTGAAATCATTCCTAAATATACCTCTACCTTCATTATTGAAAAAAATTTTCAAAATGTTATAACAGCTTTTATGATCTTTATTTAAGAAATATTTTTTAAAGCTTTATAAAATTTAAAAATTCAATCGATGGCGGGTATTGACTCAATTATGTAAATACACTCTGTTTTTAACAAATTCACTGAGGCATTATCAGATCAAAAAGCAGACATGCAATTTATTGATAATCTCGAATCTGCTATATTTACCATTATATGGTTAGCTATGCCTTTGGGTTTTTCACTATTTGAGGGGGAAAATTTTGAAACGAGCTTAATTTTGTTGAATTAGCAGAGGATCAAGGGAGATATTTTAATATTTCCCTTATTAGATGCATCTGTTAGAATTGCATATGTATGCCCATCTTTCAAATCGTCAATTGACCTCCTGGATTTAGGTCCTAAAACATTGATGATAGCCTTGCTCATTTTTGTTCTACAAGTATAGTTTTCATTTATATTAGAGTCGTTAAATATTATGGGTAAAATATTCTACCAACATTGTGAAAACATTTTCAAAGTATTGTTTGCAAGATGCGAGACATACATAATATTGCCATAGGCAATATTAATTTAGCCCAGCTCCAGCCGAGGGATTACAAAACCCGCAATACTGGGAAAAATACTCCCTATAAAACAATGATAAGGTGCTTATCTGGAACAGACGTCGAGCTGATAGGAAGGGTGGAAAAATGACATGGCCTTGGCTGGGTCCTTTTACAGTTGTGAATGACAAAAGTATAAATTATGATTTTTAACATCAAAATATTTATAATATTTAGGCAATGTAGAGTAATGAGTGCCTGTGGGAAACAGATAAAAATTCTAGAAAATATTTGTAACATAAAACATTATGTTACAAGAAAAGGTATAGTTTATAAATAAATTAATTATATATTTATCAAGATGACACAATTAAAGCAGGACAGAAAAAAGGTTAAAACTTTTAAAAATTTATTAAATATCTTTTAAACAGTTCCCAGGTTACCAAGTAAAAAGTTTCATTCTTCTACCATTAAAGGTATACAGTTGACTTAATTATTAAATAATATTCCTTATTTTAGATGATGAAAAAAATTTTCAAGAACCAGCAATTAAAAATTTAAAGCTTAATTCGAAGAAAATCATATGAAGGGTAATATTTTCATATTTAATATTAAATCTTTTTTAAAATGTCTAGTTTTGAAATTACTAAATACGATAGTTGGAGACGATTATAATTGTCAAAAAAAAGGTAATAAAAAAATATTTAATATACATATTTTTTAGATGATGGAGTTAAAACAATCAGTGAATTGAAAATGCTAAAGCCTGATGAGCATCGACCTTATAGTAATATTTTTAAGAATTGATAAAATTAATTTTTTAATTTAATAGTTGCCCCGCCTCACAATTTAAAGATTGTAGATTGCGAAGTGGACATACAAAATAAGAAAGGTAAAAATTTGTATAATTAGTAGATTGATACATATATTTTAGATGGTAAAATTATATTAGAGACTGTAATTTCCAAGAAAGAGGATGCAAATCTTTTTCTTCCCACAAACAGAAATTGGAAAATATATCATTCTGAATGCTTTCATTTTGCGATCAAGAACAGATATCCAAAATATGATAAGGGTGTGATTGGAAATAATTTTTCTACCGAACGGATTACTGGTGACGGAAATTGTCTCTTCAGGTATTTTTATTTACAATAAATTATTGTTAATCATTATTATAGATGTATAAGCAAAGAAGCTTGTGATGAAGAATGCCATTATAATTTTCTGAGACAGCAATGCTGTCTCTTTATGAGAATTAAGGATATTGTTGAACAGATGTAGGGGTTTTTGGGAGATCCCTTTGATGTATATTTGGAGAGAACATACATGGCCCTAAATGCAACTTATGGAACAGAGGTGGAGATAGTTTCTATGCAACTATGCTTAAGACAAATATTAATATTCATACTATTTATAAATGGGCTTATTATACCCCAATAAAATTATTACATAATATCAAAAAATTTAATGTAAATATATATTTAAGAAATTATCGCGAGCATTTTGACCGCATTAAATTTTATTTAATCTTATTTATATCGCGTATTTTATTCACATCATATATATGAATTCATATCGCGTATCTTACAGCATATATCTTAACTATATCGCGTATCTTATTTATATCCCGTATCTTATTTACATAATATATCTTAATTATATCGCGTATCTTAATTATATCGCGTATTAATTATATAGCGTATCTCATTTATATCGCGTATCTTATTTATATCATATTTTTTTAATAAGTTTTGACCTTTTTCAAGTTATAAATAAATAAATTTTGCAAGGAGAATAAAAAATTGTCATAAATTTCAAATAAGTGAGTAATTTTTATAATGATGTTAATTATTATATTTAATCTTTACAAGTAGTCAAAAATGTCAATTTCCTTAACTAAATGAGTAATTTTTATGAGTAAAACATGTCAGTTTAAAATGTCAATATCATTAAATAAGTGAGTAATTGTTACAAGGACTAAAATATGTCAGTCAAAAATCTCAATTTCCTTAACTAAATGAGTAATTTTTATAAAGAGTAAAACATGTCAGCCAAAAATGTCAATATCACTAAATTTATTATATTTTATTTTTACAAGTCAGTCAAAAATGTCAATATCACTAAATTTATCATTTAATTTTTACAAGTGGGTCAAAAATGTCAATTTCACTAAATTTATTATATTTAATTTTTACAAGTCAATCGTAAATGTCAATATCACTAAATAAATGAGTAATTTTAATACGGAGTAAAAATAATACGTTGCACCAGCACTTTACGGGCCTTCAGCCCGCCAAAATTTTTTTAGCAATTTTTATATTTTTACGACAATTTTCATATTTCTTCCGCATAATACCAAATTTCTCCCATAATTTGAAAATTTTGACGTGGCAACCCTGCATATGATACGTACAACGTGACAGTGAGCATCAACAACATACCCACGTTGATGCAAGTTGACACCGGTACCAGGTACAGTATACTTCCGAAGCTGACAACTAAGACTGTAGGCATAACCGCGATGCGTAAGACGGACATGAGACTCACTGGTTATGACGGCAGCGCTATTATTAGGTCTTGACAATGTGAACGTTAAGTATGAAGGAAACTCACATACACGGGAGGCCATTGTAGTGGATTGTCATAAGATCCCCCTGCTAGGATGTATGTGGCTCCACACCTTCAAAAACATTTTAAAAACGTTCTTAGTGGGTAATGTAGAGAATGATCTCGAGAAGATAATCTCGACAACAAAAAAAGACCTCGAATCAACTTACTCCTACAAACCCAAAATGGTCAGACAAGAGAAAGTTCACTTGAAGCCCGATGCTGTGCCTACGATCATACCTTCAAGGAGAATTCCGTGCGCCAAGATCGATGCAACGACTCAGAAATTCGACAAAATAAACCTTGCTCGAAAGGAATCTAGATGTCCGATGCTATGCACAAGCGACCCGGTTTGGAAATTAGCTAGGGGTTGTCTTTACTTTACTAAGCCATCATTCGGTTTGAAAAGAAGACTGCACCATGAACATGGGTGGCGTATTGCTTGGTGATCATGAATGTTAATGACGTTACCACTCAATTTATCCAAGGAAATCATGAGCCGAATTTCTTTGGAGGGTGGAATGTTGAATATGTTGATCGATGTTATTTTATTATTTATTTTGGCAATTAATTTATTTTTTTATATATCAAATTGTATTTAAATTTAATCGGTGAAAATTTTATATTAACATTTTTTTATATACATCAATTTGTATTTGTTATTTTTTTTTATTGTTTAAAAAAAAGATACATAAAGGGATAAAAAAAATGTAATTGAGGTTAAAAAATAAAAATGTAATTTATCATATAATAAAATTTAAATGATTAAAATAAAATGTAATATAATTATCTAACTATAATAAAACGTGGAATTAATTCAATTCCAACATTAGACAATGTTTTATAGAATGGACTAATATGGAAAAATTTATAGTCCTAATCAAATCAACAATTCTTGAAGAAGATAATATAAACAAACATTACAAATCATAAAACTATATGGTGCTTAAAGCTTCCTCTTAGATGATATGATAATTATTGTGAGATATAAAATTTCTAAAAGATTATCTTCCATTTTTAATGATATATAAACGACTAGACAGTTATTGCTCATTTAAATTATGCAATCATATGCTCTCAGTAGCATGAGTAATAATCTTATACATTGCCCAAATAATAGATGTTGTTGATTAATTTGCAGTCATAGCCATGACACTCACGATGTAAACTCATATCAGAATTTATTATGTTATATAAAATGATAAAACAAAAACAATAAGAATCTTTAGAAGAAATTATGCTAATATATTGAAGCCTTAAGTTATTTACATGACCAGGATGCCATATTAGAAATGAAACATATAGTAATTGAAAAATAAAGACCAAAGGGAAATGATGAAGCAATTAAGATTTTATATATTATTATCGCACCACCTATAATTGGTATATTATGTCTTGAAATTAAAATAGTTTGTAATAATATCAAAAATATACTCGTATTAAAAAATTAAAAATCAAAACCATTTTTCAAAGAAGAAAAAATAACTTTCCTAAAAATACACAATAAAAAGAGAAGGAAAAAAGGGTATTTAATAAGGATAACATCCATTGTGAGATGAATAATATGTTTTATTTTTAAATATATTTTTTAAATAAATAGAAAGCGTTAAAGAATTGAATGCGAATTGTTACTTATAATTATTTTCAAAAGCATTTATTAGTAAGATTTATTAAAATATTAACTTTTATATATTCTCTATAACAGGGGCGTCGCTAGCCTTTACACTCTCAGGGAGCTCAACTAAAAAAAAATTTATGGGGGCATCGCCCCCCATTTCCCCCCTTTGCGGGCCTTTGGCCCGATTTTATAATAATATATTATACTTTTTAAAAATTTGCTAACTCTGAATAATCATTCTGAATTTCATATTTTGTCATTTATTATATTATGATGCATACAAAATAAAATAGCATATAAATAATTAAAACAATATAAGACTTTTCTAAAAATAATATTTTTTAATGCAAAATCTATTTATTACAGTATAAAATATTTTCGATTGCTGATATAAAAAAAAATAATTTGCGCCTAAAGAATTACAAGTGATAAAAAAGGTTAATTAATTCATACATATGCCTCAATTGATAAGGGTTTTTAAAAATATCATATTATAAAATTAGCAACTTACATTGACAAAAGGTCAGGAAACTAATATATCACTCTGTTACCATTTTTAGACAATGTTTTATAGAATAAACTAATATGGAAAAATTTATGAGCCTAACCCAATCAACAATTCTTGGAGAAGAGAATATAAACGACCAATCCAAATCATAAAACTATATAGTAGTTAGAGCTTCCTCTTAAATGACATGATGGAAGCTAGATAAGTATGAGATATTAAATTTCTAAAAGATAATCTTCCATTTTTAATGATATATAAACAACTACACAGTTGACCATTATTGCTTATAAAATATGAAATCATATGCTACCAGCTGTAATAATAATCTTAAATTACATAGAAACACAAATAATAGATGCTGGTTAATTTTCTACATTTTTCACCTTTATTTATTTTACCTTTTTAAAAAATTAATTATTTGCTACTACATTTTGACAACATATCATATCAGTAAATATTCAAATAAAGTAACCCATGACCGGAAAAAAAATTGATAAAACAAAAACACTAAAAATCTTTAGAAGAAATTAGGCAAATGTATGAAAGCCTTAAGTTATTTACAAGGCAGGGATGCCATATTAGAAATGAAACATTTTGTAACTATAAAATAAGAAACAGAGTAATATGATATGATAAAAGAAATTAATTAAGATTTTATATATTATTGTCGCACCACCTCTAGTTGGTATATTTTATCTTAAAATAGTAGTAGTTTGTAATAATATCTAAAATATACTAGTATTAAAAATTTAACTCAAAACTGTTTTTCAAATAAGAAAAAAATAGCTTTCCTAAAAACACGTAAAAAAGAGAAGAAAAGTTATCTAATTTATTACATCCATTCTTGTTGATTCTTGTATAAATAAAAAGATGTTAAATTTTAAAAATATTTCTAAATAAATAGATGGCGTTAAATATTTAAAGGCAATTTATTATTTATATTTAGTATCAAAAGCATTTATTAGTAAAATTTATTAAAAAATTAACTGTAATATATAATATAACTGTCAAACACGTCTGTAAAAGTGGTATTTACCTAATATTTTATAACCAATTATATCTAATAGAGGATTATAAACTATATGTTTACTTACTTTTTATAAATAAATCTCTTATACTTATTTGGATTTGGACTTGAAAATAATTTTAAGAAGAGGCATGGTAATTAAATTTAAATAACAATAATATAGTTGATTAGTAATTTTGAACTCGGTTAATTACTATATTAAATTTGTTAATTTTCAATTAATATTTATTTAATTAGGGTATAATAATTTAAATAATAAATGTCAATAAAACTTCAACTGTTAAAGCTAAATTAATATTTAGTAAGTGATATTAATATTCTATTTTTAACACAGAATTTGATTGTTAGCTGACATAGTGAAAATATAACTTATAAGTATTAATCTAATCTAATCTAATAATTAAAATAGTATTAATTTAAGAATAATTTAGATAGACTTATTAATTTTTAAATTATGAAATTAAATCTATATATTACTCAATAGAATTATAAAAGAAATCATTCAGTGGGCAATCAAAAAAGTTTATTTTTAGTTCAAGGGGATATTAAAGAGCCATTAAAAAAAATTTTTTTTTGCTTAAGGGGGCTATTCAAATTTTTCAGGGGGCTCGAGCCCCTGCGCCCCCTATCGACGCCACTGCTCTATAACTGTCAAATACTGTATTATTATATGTAATTGCAAATACGTCAGGTGGCATTTTATCTAATATTTTATAAACAAT